GGGACAGAATCTCACTCTGTTGCCTGGGCTAGAGTGCCATGGCGTCAGCCTAGTTCACAAAAACCTCAAACTTCTGGGCTCAAGCGATCCTCCTGCCTCAGCCTCCTAAGTAGCTGGGACTACAGGCATGTGCCACCATGCCCGGCTAATTTTTTCTATATATTTTTAGTTGGCCAATTAATTTCTTTCTATTTATAGTAGAGATGGGGTCTCACTCTTGCTCAGGCTGGTTTTGAACTCCTGACCTTGAGGGATCCACCCGCCTCGGCCTCCCAGAGTGCTAGGATTACAGGTGTGAGCCATTGCACCAGCCGAGTTTTTCAATTTTTGCTAATAAGTTTGTAATTTTGAAGAGCTATTATTTTTCTGAATTGTTCTTTGTGGTGTTGTAATCTTTTTAAATGGCTACAGTATCTTTAGCTCTCTGAGAATATTGCTGATAGTTAATTTTTTTTTTCTTCTTGCATACTCGTTTTCCATCAAGAGTCTTTCCCTCCATTTTAATTTCTATCTTTAGGGTTAGTGAATTTCTTTAGAAATCTGCCATCTGCCATCTGCTTGTGTGAATCTGAAGCTCTTAACATATAAATCAGGTTGGTGTACCCGGAACTTTTCTATAGATCTGTCTGGGCTATTGGTTGAGAGATCCTGATATCAGTATCTTTAGGGCATTTTGTCACAGGATTGATCAGTCTCCACAGAGAGAAGATTCTTCTAGTCTCTCACCTGGAGTATTAAGGGCTGGCTGTAGCATTTTAGGAGCTGAGTGGAAGAAGAGAGATTGGGAGGGCAGGGCAGAAGGGATGTTCTCAGCATTCAATATAACTTTTTCATATAATCCCGTTTTGCTATGTACCACTATCCTTATCAATGCCTTGGTGTCCCCCCAGCCAGACAAACAGAGCCCCTCTGTTTTATTCTGTCCAAAAATAAAATTCCACATGTTTGCCTAAGTTGAAGAAAGGTCAGATGCCCCAAATTCCTCCAATCCTTTTTTGACCTCTTCCTCTTTATTCCCACGTTCAGAGATTCCTGGCTATCAATACCTGGCCTTGTGAGGTTCTCTTGAGGTTAATTTTGTTGGTTTTCAGCATTCCTTACTGTTAGTTTAGGATTCCGCTTTTTCAGGCTTGCTAAGTAATCCATCTGCTTTCCAGTTTTCGAGGTGTGTTGTGTTGTCTCTTTTTCTGTTCTCTCGGTCCTTATGGATTTATGCCTTAAAAAAATCCTTTTACTGTATTTTTAATAGGGGTTTCAGGAGGGAACAAAGCTGGAGTCTTGTATTTAATCTACTTATTTGCTCTTCATCTCACTCCTGTGTGGTTTTCTTTACCTATAATTCCCTACACTAATATGGCTTGAGCTAAGGTCCCCAGGGACATCTGGCATATAAAAATAATGTTCCTTTTTTCAGTCTTCATCCTGCAGTGTCAGCATTTGACAGAGCTGACCACTCCTTTTTGAAATATATCTAATCTTATGTTCTTTACAACTATTTTTTAAAAGAACAATCTTATTGTGATATAATTCCCATACTATAACTTCATCCTTTGAAATAAGTTTTAGTCTATTCACAAAGTTGTACAACTATCACCACTAATTCCAGAGCATTTACATCACCCCAAAAGAAACCCTGTAGCCATTAGCAATCTCTCTCCATCCTTCACTCCCTCAACCTCTGGCACCCACTAATTTAATTTCCATTTCTATGGATTTGCCATTAGGGACATTTCATATAAATGGAATCATATAATATATGGGCTTTTGTGATTGGCTTCTTTCACTTAGAATAATGTAAAACCTTATTTTTGCTATGAATAAGTTAAAATTAATAGTTAAAATCTCTCTACCTGACTTCTTCCTGGCCTAAATGTTCCACGGCTCTGTGTTAGATTCTCTTCCCTTTTCTACTACTTTTCCTTTAGGTGATCTCATCCACACCCCTAACTTTAAATAACCACATGTGCCAATGACTCCTGTCTTAGTCTGTCTGTATTCCTATAACAAAATACCTGAGATTGGGTGAATTTATAAAGAATAGAATTTATTGCTCACAGTTTTCGAAGCTGAGAAGTCCAAGAATAAGGTGTCAGTAGGTTCAGTATCTGGTGAGGGCCTGTTCCTCATAGGCGCACCATCTAGGTGTCTACACATAGTGGAAGGGACCAAAGGGCAAAATGGGGTCTAGCTAGTTCCCTCCAGTCTTTTTATAAGAGCACTAATCCATTCATGAGAGAAGAGCCTCATGACCTAATCCCGTCCAAAGGCCATGACTCTTCATACTACTACTACATTGGGGATTAAATTTCAACATGAATTTGGGAGGAGACACAAACATTCAAACCTTCACAATTCCCAAATCCATCTCTCTCATCTCCACTTCTTCCCTGAGCTCTAGACTCATACAATTGCTTGCCTACTTGGCATCTTCACCTGGATGACTAACAGGCATCCAGACTGATCATATCCAAAAGAGAATTCAGTTTTTTCCAAGCCAGAACTTAATTCTTCTCTAGTGGGTCTCATTTCAGAAAATGACACTACCATCTTCCAGTTGCTGAAGTAAAACACTTAAAACAATAACTAAGTATATATTTATGTGTATGATTATTTGTTTTAGTTCTGTTTCCCTCACTAGTCTATAAGGCAGGGCCAGTGCCTGTTCGCTTCACCATTTGTATACCAGTGCTTAGCACAGTGCCCAGCCTATAATAGGTGAGCAATAAGTATTTGTTGAATGAATGTCTAATACAAAAAATAATAAGACATAATGCTTGATCTCAAGTTGCCTATAATTTTATTAGAGAAATAGATATCTATGTGTATGTTAAAGACTATAAAAAAATACAAAATTCAGTGTCAAAGCATTAAGTAGTAAATCCAGCAAACTGGTATTAACTGAGTAGCACCTAAGTGGACACATAGGTACTACAGTAATAGGGTATTGGGCAGGTGGGAGGGGGGCGGGTATATACAAACATAATGAGTGAGATGTGCACCATCTGGGGGATGGTCATGATGGAGACTCAGACTTTTGGGGAGAGGGGGGGAAATCTGTACCCCCATAATATGTCGAAATAAAAAAAATGTTGTGCAAAAAATAAAACCCAAAGAAGACTCCCATCTCAGTAATTTCATTTCAGATATGCAGACTAAGGGAACAAAAGTAGTAGAGAGGCCTGCTGGTCTAATGTAAAGACTGCTTTTCATTAATCACGAAAATGAACAAGTTGGATAAATTAACAGATGTGGCAGCAGTGACGGGCCTTTAAGGGAAGGTCAGAATTTGGGGGAGGTACTTGGGTAACGTGTAGCAGTGGAGATCTCTCCCAACGCCTGTTGCGGGCGTCGGAATGAAGGCTGGCTCGCCCACGGTCTCACGTAGTTCGGAAATCCTCCGGGTTCCGGGGTTTCCCGTGCTTCCGTCTCCGCACTTCGCCCGCACCCGAGGGCTCAGGAGGCCGCCACGCGGACGCGCCGCCCCCAGGCACGGGCGGGGGCCGGGCCACCGCCTCCAGGGCGGGGCCGGACGGAGGTGCGCTTCGCTTACCATTTGTATACCAGTGCTTAGCACAGTGCCCAGCTATAATAGGTGAGCAATAAGTATTTGTTGAATGAATGTCTAATACAAAAAATAATAAGACTAATGCTTGATCTCAAGTTGCCTAATTTATTAGAGAAATAAGATATCTATGTTGTTAAAGACTAAAAAAATACAAATTCAGTGTCAAAGCTTAAGTAGTCAATACAAAATGCTTTGGATTTTAGAGGCATGACGGTAAGGAAAAACTACCTGGAGATAGTGCTCATGAGTGCGTTTTAGATAGGTGAAGAAGAACATGAGCATAATAGCATGCAAAAACCAGAAGTGGAACTTGAGTTGTTTAGGGGATAGTGAGGAGACCACTGTGACTTCAGAAACGTTTAAGAAAACAAGCTTTTTGCTTTGAATAATCTGATTAAGGGCCCTATTGGAGGTAGAATATACAGTAGTAGGAAGAAGTATAATATTCCAAAAATGGGAAGAGCCCCACAGGGGTGGGAAACCTGTGGCCTTAAGGCCACTATGGCCTTCTAGGTCCTTAAGTGCGGCCTTTTGACTGAATCTAAATTTTACACATCATCCTTTTATTAAAAGCAGCGGAATAGACGAAGTTTTCCTTGCCTCATTTGGTGCTTTAAAAGAACAATTTTGAAATCAGAAGGCCACAGGTTCCCCACCCTGTGAGGTGTTTTTATTCAGTGTTTATTGAGGTATCAATATAAAAATTTAGATTAAATGTAATTGTAACTGTGGCACAAAATATCAGAAAATTTAAATAATCTGATTTTGAAAATTAATCATGTTGCTTGCAGCTGAAGAGCTCACTCATTATGCTTCAGAAAACCTTTGATCTACTAAATAAGAATAAGACTGGCATGGCTGTTGAAAGCTCGTGATCCTAGGACTGAAACTGTAGAGACACTTGGAACTAAAAGAAAACATTGGAAGAAAACCAGAGGATGAAGGTTGATAGGATTTGTCATAGGATATTTCCGTTTTCTCATTATTAGGATTTCAATGTGAAGATTCTTCAATAACATTATTTGGTAATAGTTTCTGATGGCCTTAAGAATCCATCCTTTCACTTCTTATACATATTTTTAGCTGTGAATTTCCCAGTGAACCATGAAATATATTGTGGAATTAAATTTCTGTGATACAAAAAGAAAGTGAGACACTTTGAATGGAGTGGTACAGTCTCTTTCTACAGTGAGGTTTAAAGTTGATGTTTTAAGTTTATCTGTTAGCACAAAATTAGTATGGGTCCAATAGGCTGCTTTCACTGTTGAAGTTCAAGAGGCTAAGACGACAATGTAAAAGAAACCTTGGCTGTCCCAAGTAGTTAATTATCTCACTTGATTGTTGACAGTCTAACAGATTTAACTCCTGTTCTACTACTTTCCCCCTTTTCACTACTGCACTTGACTAGTCTTAAAAAAAGAAGAAATCTCTACATCATTACTAATTTTAAAGATTAGTTTGCAGGCATATATCATAACATTTCTAGGTTTGTGTGTGGTAAGTATTATAATGTCTTCATTATTTAGCATGTAAATTCAATAGTCAACTTTTTGAATCTGCATGTTGATGATTATTATCTGAAAGGTTCTTCAGCCATGTTGTTGTATCTTTATGAAAGAAGAGGTTTTTCTTAATATGGCTACCAGATAGCTATCAGAGGTGAGATTATCTTGCCTCTTCATACATCAAATGGCAAAAGAGTCAATTTAGGAGAAGGGAGACTATAGGATACCAACATTCAAAATGAAGAACACCCCTGTGACTTTTCAAAAGCAGAAGATTATGTTAAATCTGGATATGCATTGACAATCAAAGAATCCTTAAACTAAGCCTGGCTCAGTTAGTTAGCAGTCTTTCAGGGTGGAATGACCCATCAGATGGAAATAATCTTGTCTTTTCCAATAGCCATGTATGGCTTCATTCTTTTATTTGTGTGTGGCTGTTTTAGTTGGTAAGTTGTAAGTCAGAGACAAACTTTAGCTCCTTATAAAAACTTGTGGGCCATGTATGGTCCAATACAAGTGCACTGACTTTAAAGTTGTAAGTCAACATAAGCTTTGGCTCTTCCATGAAAAATTTTTAGACTTATATGTCTCAATACAAGTGGTTCATGAAAATAAGGACTTTGTAACTAACTTGAAATCAGATTTTTTTCAGAGTTAGGAAAGTTCACACAGTGTTTTTTTGTTTTGTCTCTTAAGCTCTTTCCCTGGAAATATATATAATGTGTTTTATCTTACTGTTTGAACAATTATTACTTAGTCAAATGTTTCCTTTTTTCCAGCCTCACTAAGATGCATGGCATGTTAAAGTCATTTTTGAGATGCCTGTAGAGATAACAAAATTATTGCACCATAAGAGGGAAATGGGTTTCTCTGGGTGAATTCCATCTAGCCTGGGGTACCTTGTTTCTTTTGGTAGGATTACGTAGTATCTGGCTGTGAACCAGAGTACTGGATTAAAACTTGAACTTCCTCTGTTAAGTTCACAAAAATGATCACTGACACGCAATATTATTGTGATGTTTCTTTAAAACTGTACTGTTGTAACATACTCAAAGATTATCCAAGTTAAGTTGGTTATAAATAGACTAATATGTATGGATGCAGAATCAGTTATAAAACTAGAGCCTGTTATAAATGTGATATCAATAAAATTGAAAATCGATTGTGTTTTTCTTTTCTATTTAAAAGAAAAAAAAAAAAAACCAAACCAGAAAGCCTTCCATAGTGAGAAACATGTACATGGGCCTAAACTCTTATTAAAAATGTTGTGCAATTCATAATGCAAGGCTGTGGAAACAGCCCAATGTGCCCATCAATCCAAGAATGGATTAATAAATGTGTATATGTATACCATGGAGTACTATTCAGCTCTAAGAACAATGGTGATATAGCAATCTTATATTTCCTTTAGAGCTGGAACCATACTACTAAGTGAGTATCTCAAGAATGGAAAAACAAGCACCAGATATAGTCTCTTGAACTCCTGACCTTGAGGGATCCACCCGCCTCGGCCTCCCAGAGTGCTAGGATTACAGGTGTGAGCCATTGCACCAGCCGAGTTTTTCAATTTTTGCTAATAAGTTTGTAATTTTGAAGAGCTATTATTTTTCTGAATTGTTTCTTTGTGGTGTTGTAATCTTTTTAAATGGCTACAGTATCTTTAGCTCTCTGAGAATATTGCTGATAGTTAATTTTTTTTTTTCTTCTTGCATACTCGTTTTCCATCAAGAGTCTTTCCCTCCATTTTAATTTCTATCTTTAGGGTTAGTGAATTTCTTTAGAAATCTGCCATCTGCCATCTGCTTGTGTGAATCTGAAGCTCTTAACATATAAATCAGGTTGGTGTACCCGGAACTTTTCTATAGATCTGTCTGGGCTATTGGTTGAGAAGTCCTGATATCAGTATCTTTAGGGCATTTTGTCACAGGATTGATCAGTCTCCACAGAGAGAAGATTCTTCTAGTCTCTCACCTGGAGTATTAAGGGCTGGCTGTAGCATTTTAGGAGCTGAGTGGAAGAAGAGAGATTGGGAGGGCAGGGCAGAAGGGGATGTTCTCAGCATTCAATATATACTTTTTCATATAATCCCCGTTTTTGCTATGTACCACTATCCTTATCAATGCCTTGGTGTCCCCCCAGCCAGACAAACAGAGCCCCTCTGTTTTATTCTGTCCCAAAAATAAAATTCCAGATGTCTGCCTAAGTTGAAGAAAGGTCAGATGCCCCAAATCTCCTCCAATCCTTTTTTGACCTCTTCCTCTTTATTCCCACGTTCAGAGATTCCTGGCTATCAATACCTGGCCTTGTGAGGTTTCTCTGAGGTTAATTTTGTTGGTTTTCAGCATTCCTTACTGTTAGTTTAGGATTCCGCTTTTTCAGGCTTGCTAAGTAATCCATCTGCTTTCCAGTTTTCGAGGTTGTGTTGCTGTTGTCTCTTTTTCTGTTCTCTCGGTCCTTATGGATTTATGCCTTAAAAAAATCCTTTTACTGTATTTTTTTTTTTTTTTACAGGTTATAGGTGGGTTTAACCTTTTATTGTATTTTTAATAGGGGTTTCAGGAGGGAACAAAGCTGGAGTCTTGTATTTAATCTACTTATTTGCTCTTCATCTCACTCCTGTGTGGTTTTCTTTACCTATAATTCCCTACACTAATATGGCTTGAGCTAAGGTCCCCAGGGACATCTGGCATATAAAAATAATGTTCCTTTTTTTCAGTCTTCATCCTGCAGTGTCAGCATTTGACAGAGCTGACCACTCCTTTTTTGAAATATATCTAATCTTATGTTCTTTACAACTATTTTTTTAAAAGAACAAATCTTATTGTGATATAATTCCCATACTATAAACTTCATCCTTTGAAATAAGTTTTAGTCTATTCACAAAGTTGTACAACTATCACCACTAATTCCAGAGCATTTACATCACCCCAAAAGAAACCCTGTAGCCATTAGCAATCTCTCTCCATCCTTCACTCCCCTCAACCTCTGGCACCCACTAATTTAATTTCCATTTCTATGGATTTGCCCATTAGGGACATTTCATATAAATGGAATCATATAATATATGGGCTTTTGTGATTGGCTTCTTTCACTTAGAATAATGTAAAACCTTATTTTTGCTATGAATAGTTAAAATTAATAGTTAAAATCTCCTCTACCTGACTTCTTCCTGGCCCAAATGTTCCACGGCTCTGTGTTAGATTCTCTTCCCTTTTCTACTACTTTTCCTTTAGGTGATCTCATCCACACCCCTAACTTTAAATAACCACATGTGCCAATGACTCCTGTCTTAGTCTGTCTGTATTCCTATAACAAAATACCTGAGATTGGGTGAATTTATAAAGAATAGAAATTTATTGCTCACAGTTTTCGAAGCTGAGAAGTCCAAGAATAAGGTGTCAGTAGGTTCAGTATCTGGTGAGGGCCTGTTCCTCATAGGCGGCACCATCTAGGTGTCTACACATAGTGGAAGGGACCAAAGGGCAAAAATGGGGTCTAGCTAGTTCCCTCCAGTCTTTTTATAAGAGCACTAATCCATTCATGAGAGAAGAGCCCTCATGACCTAATCCCCGTCCAAAGGCCATGACTCTTCATACTACTACTACATTGGGGATTAAATTTCAACATGAATTTTGGAGGAGACACAAACATTCAAACCTTCACAATTCCCAAATCCATCTCTCTCATCTCCACTTCTTCCCTGAGCTCTAGACTCATACAATTGCTTGCCTACTTGGCATCTTCACCTGGATGACTAACAGGCATCCCAGACTGATCATATCCAAAAGAGAATTCAGTTTTTTCCAAGCCAGAACTTAATTCTTCTCTAGTGGGTCTCATTTCAGAAAATGACACTACCATCTTCCAGTTGCTGAAGTAAAACACTTAAAACAATAACTAAGTATATATTTATGTGTATGATTATTTGTTTTAGTTCTGTTTCCCTCACTAGTCTATAAGGCAGGGCCAGTGCCTGTTCGCTTCACCATTTGTATACCCAGTGCTTAGCACAGTGCCCAGCCTATAATAGGTGAGCAATAAGTATTTGTTGAATGAATGTCTAATACAAAAAATAATAAGACATAATGCTTGATCTCAAGTTGCCTATAATTTTATTAGAGAAATCAGATATCTATGTGTATTGTTAAAGACTATAAAAAAATACAAAATTCAGTGTCAAAGCATTAAGTAGTAACAATAATGCTTTGGATTTTAGAGGCATGACGGTAAGGAAAAACTACCTGGAGATAGTGCTCATGAGTGCGTTTTAGATAGGTGAAGAAGAACATGAGCATAATAGCATGCAAAAACCCAGAAGTGGAACTTGAGTTGTTTAGGGGATAGTGAGGAGACCACTGTGACTTCAGAAA